AAAAAACAACAACAAAAAAAAAAACACCACAAGCTGATAAAACCTGGCTTATTGCCCAATTTTCAGCAAAAATATTGAGCAATTCAATTTAAAAAAAATATCGCCAATTCAATTGGGCAATTCAATTGGCATGGAAGTGTGTGCTGTTTTTTTTTTTCATGTTACAAGATCTGTTAATGTCTATCTGTTTTTCTGTTTCACATTTGAGCCATTCTCTACTCCAGACTCAGACAACCTGAATTGCAGACTAATATGCTCTAATGAGAAAGGCATTACCTTTATGAATGACCTCATAGAGAAGAGGTTGGCTAACATTGTTGAAAGGCCCGGTGCCAGGCAGCTCTGGGCTATGAAACCCAGCTTCAGCTCAGCAAGACAGATTGCATCATCCCCTTCTTTCCAGTTCCAGCTTGGGATATTTAGTAGATGGGCCTGGAAAACAAACAAATAACATATCCCACTGGTGAAGAACCAGAAACAGAAGATAGCACGGAATGACTTTCTCTATTAATACCTTGACTTTTTCTGAGTAGGCAGGAGCACTTCAAGTGTTTCAGAGCTTAATTCTATGCTGAGAAATGTTCCACTCTTACTTACTACAGATAAAATGCTACATTTCTCAAGACATGCTGGCTGTGGCACTCTGTCAGGTCTATCCTCACACCTGAACTAGAAGAATATTGTAAAGTTTCCTTCCCTTCTGCATGTTCCTTTTACAGCACTTTGAACTACCATCTGACTGATGAGAAACACACATAATATACAAGAAGTTAATACAACTTAGTTAATACAACAGTAGTTGCTCTTGTTCTAGCAACAGGTTACAGGTATAAGGAGATGTTATCAAACCTTCCTAGTACCAGATTTATTGTGTATTTCATCAAATGAAGGTTTACCCAGTCAAGCTTTTTCTCAAACAGTGGGCAGTGGTTGATCCTTTCAGAGCTAATAAAAGAAGCAGGCTACATATGAGTACTGTGTTATCTGATATATCCTTCCTAACCTTGTTAGTCAGCACTTTATGGACTTCTTCATCTCAGGATTGAATAAACTGACTTCATTGTGTTTAAGGGTCACAAATATACCATAAAAAACCTTTTCAAATACCTTTCCAAAGTGGATTTGTAATTTTGAGCTTCACAATATTCTTAGTACCCACATCTGGGTTATGTTTTAGATTAAAAATCACATAAATTTATCTATTTTGTACCTACTGCTTGGCAATTTCAGGTCTACATGGTCACACCAGAATCAAAAAATCACAATTATCTCCACTAAAACACTAAGAGCAGAACTTACAGAGTTGAAGTGGTGAAAGGTAATCTGGCATCAATAACAACTATGGACACTATGTAGCTTTGAGAATTAGATTCTAGGCAACTAATAAATGTCAAGATTTTGATAAAATCCCTTGCATATATACTACTATATATAAATTACTTTGGAACTGGATTACATGACAAGGTTTATTAAGATGTTTTAGTTTGGAAAGAAAAATGCTTGCTGTTACTGGAACTAGAAAAATTATGAGTGAATGCAATGTAGTAAAAAACTCTGAGAAGAAACAGCAGCCATTACATTACCTTATTGTGGTACTGCAACATCTGAGTGATAATTCTTATCTTCGGATGATAATTCTTTATGGAAATAACTCTAAAAATAAAAGGAAAAAACTATTAAAATATCTTTTAAGTGATAGGGTATTTCGATAATGTATTCTACCATGTTGTCAAGTCCCACAATTAAAACTGTGCCCTTATTCATCTGCCTGTAAAGCAAACTGATTGATGTCAGACCTTTGAAATATTTACACATAGTCAAACTGAGGTAAGAATTAGTGTCTAGTACTAAAGAGCAATAAGCCTCAGGAAATATTCAGTTGAATGGCTTGCCCACACGGAGTTTGCAGAAAAAGAGACTTGTTTTAGCAGCTCTATTCAGATACTGATTCCATTAGGAAAATAATGCAGTTGGAATTGTTACATCATCCTCAGTGATTATTTTCATGTCTCTGAGTCAACATACTTGATTAAGTTTCCCAATGATATATGCCTGAAAAAATTAATTTCTTTCTGCCCCATCACATATTATTTATTTATAGCTGCTAGACATTCATCCTATCTAAACACCTTGAATAATGATTTTGTGTTTCACATGCAAATTCATCTTAATTTTGATGGATTAATCCAAAGATCAATATAAAAACTGATAGCTGAATGCAGAATTTGTATAACATGGGGCTACTTTCACAGTCTGCACATTTTCTGCATTCTAAATTATTTAATGAATCTAAGATATACTCAACTATGTATAGATTTTAAGTGGCTGGAATGAAAAATGTTTGAGAAATGCATGAATTGATAATGTTTTATAAAAAAGCATTGAGCAAAATTAAAGAGATGAACAGCCAAAAAAAAAATCTGGTATTTAAAAACTAAAGGTATTTAAAAAAGATAAAACAATGAAAAAAAATGTGATTTATTATGGAATCATCTGTCTTATTATAAGAGTAAATATCATAAATGTTCACATTGGTGTTTTGTAGAACATATACTGTAAACTACTGGTCTGGCTTGTGTTCTTAAGCTTAGCAAAGCTAGAACAAGAAAGGTAAAAAAATTGCACTATTTTACCAAGTCTTTCTTCTAATTTTCCATTTATTGCTGAATTGTTTAATTAAACATTCAATTTTTAAAAAATAAATTGTGACAATACACAAGAGAATTCTACTCTCACATCAAAAATTTTGCATTTTATTACATTAAATGTATTAAATCTACTAAAAATGCATCAGTCTGCAACTGGAATATTTTTAATGTATTTATGTAATCAATATCAAAATCAAGTTTTTTGCATTGCAACTGAAACCCAAACCATGTTTGTAAAATGAAACTAGGTGTATTTTAGCCTTGTTTCTTTCTCAGATAACTAAACCTCTTGCACACAGTGGTAATTTTCCATAAGAGCAATTTAAGTAGCACTTATTTATTTCTCCCCTTCCTTCAATACACAGCATGCTAACATCTGACAAGCCAGTAAAATCAGTTTATAACACTGTCCAATCCAATATGAGAGAACTTTTAATCAATCACTGACCTGCAATTTTAATTTCAAAAAGGAGACTGGTCTCATTAAAACTAGGATTGTATGAACAAAACAAAAAATGGAATGGCTTAGGTTTGCTGTAACTCTAGCTGCCATCTACTGACACTGTTCATCTCCTCCCTTCAGAGACTACAAGGAGAAAAGCAGGAGGAGATCTGGTGGTCCCTAATGTCATAAATGCCTTGTCAGTCAAAACAAGGAATGATTAGTCTTCAGTGTAAAAAAAGCAGGCTGGAGACAGGAGACAACTCCCTTGTATACTTTGCTATCCCCTAAGCAGTGCATTACTTGCAGGAACAGATCCACCATGCAGCAGCAGGAATGAAGCACTGAAGGTGCTTCTTCCCCACTGTTGACACAGCCCCTGCAGTGCATGCACTCATGCATGCATTGTTGCAACAACCTGACTGCATTCCATTTCCTCTCTGTGTTCAGCTAGGAATACTCAAACACCAGCTCCTGCAAAATGATTGAGTGTCAAAGCCTGTGCCCCAAGTGTCTCTTCTGACACACTAAGGAGACATGAAAGCGTGGACGTAGGAATTTAGGGTATTCTCACCTCTGGACTTTGGTGACGATCTTTTAATTTGTGTCTAAAAAAAAAAATAAAATCCTACAGTGTTTTTTAAGTGCAACAGATCAGATATAAAATTAGCTAATCAGAGTTAAGAGCCAAAAAGCTATTAAAAACTACAGAGTTTACCTCATAATATTGGAGGCATCTTCAGCATCTGGGTCAGCGCAGTATTTATTGGCAAGGATTAGGCACGCATCTGCTGACTCTATCTGAGACACCAAAGAAAAAGGAAACATATAAAGCAACGTCTCTTTCCAGCTCTTCCTTCCTCATTAACTATGAGGGAATCCAGCACTGGTTGCATGAGTGTTGAGTGTCAGTTCTCAATACTGCTAATCAAAAACGTTTCTAGGCTAACATGAGTTCATGCCAGTGATTACAACCACTCTTGTGTACACAGGGAATTTCTTGAAACTTGCTTATGATGATCAGAGCAGGTCAGCAGTTCAACTGACAACTTACTCTGTATCAGCTGAGCCGCAAAGGTGGCAGTGTTAATCTTTTGTGCCCAGATACTGGAATTTACATTTCTAAATCCATCGGAAGGTCCCGTTGCACCAGTACAGTGCTCCCGCAAGTCCTGCAGCTTTGTTTGGGAATTTAAGTACCTTCCTATTCAAGACAGGAAGAGGTGGCTGTATGGTTTAGAATCTGAGCACCAGATTTAGAAAGAAGGAAGAGGACAACTGATCTATTCACAGGACCTCTAGATTCACACAAACCTGAGCTTTACAGAACTCAAAGCAGATGACAAAAGTATTTTCCAGTGTATACAACCAAATATCAACACGAAGAAGGGTGGAATACAGAACACAAAATAAGAACACACAATTTTATGATCATAATTAGGACATGCTCTGATGAACTGAAACAGTGTGCATTGGGCTACAAAAATCTTAAGCAACTTCTGCAGTCAAAATAGACAAAAGATATGATTAGTACTCCAGACCGTGTTAATCACACTGTACTAAAATATTCTTGGCTTAAGTTGCCAGTTTATATTCCATTGGAAAATCAAAATAAACTAAAAAGTTAACGATCTATCTGACAACTTGATTTTTCTTTAATTTTCTTTTTTTTTTTTGAAACGTCATGCTTTAAGAAGAATCAAATAATTTACCATTTAGAAATTATAGAAAATAAATATCTAAATAAGCAAGCCTAACTAACTTTATCTACCAAAATCTTGACCTGCATTTTTTTCAGGATTATAGGTAACAGAAAAAGGGTTTGGAGTATGAAAAATATTTTTAAATTATTCGGATAAATTTAGGCAACAGCATTTTAAGAAATTCCTGTAAGACAATATCTTGCTATATCAAATATTAATGTAAAATACACTTTTGAATGAAATGTCAATGAAAAATTCATAAAGAGTTCAATGGAATGGCATATAATTATCTTAAGTCATAGTTGCTGTAGCTTTGAAGATATAAAGACATGGGGAAAAAAGGTTTACCAGTATAGATATAATTTATTACTTAAGATAATAGAGATGGAAAAACATTCTTTTGGGATTACATGAAGAAAGGCTTTAGTGTTTAGGTTTTTTTCCAAATAATGCAAAGAGTACTTAGAAAAAGGTCAATTAGCAGAACAGAACAAAAAAGCTGTTACCTTCACTCTTGCCAGGTCATGGGGATTAAGGACTGAACCCTGATAAAATTCCACCTGAGTGAAGTGTCGTTTAAAAAGAGCTTCCAGCTCAAGGTTAGGGGAGATACTGCATAGGAAAGAGGAAGAAAACACAAGAGCAAATGAGAGGTCAATTTCCATAACTGCTCCATTTCCTCCATTTACAAACCCACCTATTTATTTTAGATATTCAGACTTCTGCTGATGCCTTTTCTGTGGCATGGAAACAGCACACCTTACTTAAAAGATAAACTACATTGCTTTCACTGCCTTACTTTCATCTGCTGTGCTTCTGGCCCACCATGTGCTACTCTCCACATTCATCATGTGTACATTTCCAAGTGATGGGAATCCATAAGTGTGGGCGCAAACATTTGAAAAGATCTTCTCCCACAGCATTCTACCCAGAAATTACATAGTACCACAATCATCCTCTGCATGTCCCCACCATTCCCACAATGGCTGACTGTGTTGAATAAAACAGCTCAATGCAAGATCTCTAAAATCAGAATAAGAAACCAGACAGGGACTCTGAGGCCTCTGTGAGCTACAATTAAAACAAACACAATGATGCCATGGCTTTCTGTCTCATTTCATTTTGCCAGAAACCAAAGAAAAATTAAATTGATTACAGTCCATTACATAATGTGGTACCAACCTTGTAAATATTTTTTCTGGTGCCACTAATTAAAACAGAATGAATTGAATAGCTACAGGCACAAACACAAGTAGCAAGGTGCTAAACTCCTTTCATGCAAATGTGCAGTTTCCTGATTCCTACCACCACACATTTTCACTGTGGAAACCTTGATACCCAATTTCCTCTCACAGTCAGTTGTTCTTGCATAGAGAGGGAATACAAAAAAAAATGATGTAATTACTTGAGGATGTCATCTCTAGTTGAAATTGAAAGGATTAGATGAAAAAACTGTGGAAAAACTGCTAATGCTTAGTTTTCAGCTTACAGTGTTAAATCATCACAAATTATATCCTCAACTTTTTAATAATTTTCTTTGACAATAAGTGCATAATGCATTGCTGAATGCAAAAAAAATAACTAATTTATAACTTGCAACTCTTATAAACAGACACCATTACAGAACAGAAAAGATATTGTCTCCTATCACGTGGCTTCTTCTAGCAGTTCCTCCCCTAGGCATGGCTATTTGGCAACATACAAACATACAGTGTTTTTCATTAGTTTTACTGATGTTACCAATTTGGATAGTTTCCCTAGGAATATTTACCACTAAAAAAATCTCTTTTGTATTTATTTGCATTTCAGTATTCTTTATCTCATACACCAATCTCCACTTCAACTATACATTTAGCTATGTACCTCACAACAAAACTGGGTCGGAAGTCTTTTTGCTCGACACAAATATACTTAGTAGGGGGTTATGGAAAAAGCAGAAAAAACCCACTTTTCTCAGGATATATTTTTAATAAACATAAATGCATTAATTTTATGGCTATTTGGAACTTTAAATATTCTGTCTTCCCAGAAGCTACAGCTTCACTTAATGAGTTTTAGTAACAGATGATAAGACCAATGTTGAAAGAATACTCACTTATGCAGAAAGACAATTTCTACATTGACATCATCCCTATCCTTGTGCAGGAAGTCCTTCAGGAAGTTCGACACACTTTCAAGTGTTATGTGCCCACAGACAACTATGTGCCTGTTACAGAAAAATCAGAGTTAATCTCACAAAGGAGGTAAAAAAAACAAGCAAGCAGAGATGGAAATGATAACTTATTGAGAAAAAAGAGCATTAGTCTTTTATTGATGTTTCTCTAGATCCTATTCCATGAAGTCAAAGAAGAAAAATAACAATTCCAAAAGGTTTTTTGCAACTGCAAATGTATATACATACACGCTGTCACCATTTGCTGTAAAGCCATTTGACCAGGTTGTTTTACACATTTAACAATAAGTAGGATCAGCTATATATATGTTTATGCACTGTATTAACCAGTCCCTTTCAAAGTCATATTTCCTCATTTTACACATCTTTCTTGATATCTTTAACTCCTCTAATGAGATTTACTGTTTAAATTTTTGGGTTATGACAGCAAATCTCCCTAAAATTATTCAATATTTTTCTACAGTTGAAGCAGACTTTTATGCCAAGGAAGGTAGCGCAAAGCTTGCCAAATACAGGCCATAAGCAGCATGAAAAGAAATTTTTTCCTACCATAAAACCTAGAGGAGAGTACTTTACAACCAGAAGTCATTGTTTACTATTATCACTTTTCTGGCAGAGCACAGTGTGTTAAACATTTATTTTGAAATATGATAACTCCTTTTACATGAGTACTTAGATATCACAAGGACTCAAATGCAATTTTAGAAATAGCAACAATCTAAACTTTCAATTGTTTATTTTATTTAACAGGCAAGACACAGAAGTTTATAAGAGACTCCGGCCATGCTAGTTTGTATTTAACATAGAACTCGATATACGAATGTTTATTACTAAACTTGCTATTCATAGTTTCTGCTTTGCCTTTTTTTTTTTAACATAAGTTTTAGTTGCAATGAATGTTCTTGGACTGCAAACACTTCAAAACACAAAAACATGAGTTAAAGCTTTCTTGTTTTATGAGATGGTAAGCACAGTATCAGAAAATATGACACAAAATATATCAGGTTTTTCCTTTTTCCTTGGGCAAAGGGGTCCTCTGGAGGTTCCTCTGGCAGAGTTTGCAGCACACTGGTACAGGGGAGAACCATGCTTACACCGCCCCCACCAGAAGGGCTCTGCCCCTGTTTCCCTGATGGCCACTTGCCTGAGTTGCCAGAGGTGTACAGTATGACTTAGTGCATTGTCATACATAAAGCAGCAATGGAAAACCTCAGGAAGCTTCAGATTCTGAAGAGATATTTAAAACCTTAGCAGTTTACTTGATGTGAATTCTGAACAGACTGTTCGGTACACTACACTAGACTAACATATAGCTAAGTTCTTTCTGTCTGGTGGCATTCCAGACTTTTCCTGGCTATAAGTATATATAGCATCAAAAACCCACCAAGTCCCAAGGAAATTATAAATAGCAGCTAAGAATAATAATTTGTATTCCTTATACTGTCTGTGCACATTTTCCAAGATAACTGATTTTAAATTATGGGAATTATTTTCTTCAAATATCTTCATCTATTACTAACTAAGAAATTGAATTTTCCATCTGGATAGCTTATACATTGCTTTTGATAGCAGAAATAATTCCTGATTGAAGGGAAGTCTTTTGTGATCCAGGGCAGTTAGCTTTAGCTGGGTCTCTTCCTGAATGCTCTTCTGATACAGAACATTCCTATGGAGAAAATTTATTACCTCCCTGGCTGATTTCACTCAATATGGGTTTTTTTGTGTCATTAATTACAGTCCACATTTTAAAGTATGGCAACACATAATATTGTATTGCATGAAGAAGAAATTATCAAAGTATCAAAAGATTACAAGGCAATTCATGCTCTCAGATACCTCCAGAGGTTATTTGCTACAAAAAGCTCCTGCTAAAAACACATGCATTTGGTACAATCCTGTTATGACTCTCACTGAGTAGGGACTCACAGCAATCTGCTCCAGTGAAAATAAAACATTTGGCTGCCAAAAACTCTCACATTGGGTATCAGGACTAATTGTTTTTGGAGTGTTAAAAGGCATCTGCACTGTGGTTTCACTTTATACTCTGATTTGGAGCTGGACACAATCTGGTTCCTCCAGATTTTCTCTTCTTTGCTATACTTACACAGTGCATGGCAGTGTCCTGAACAGCGACTGCAACAAAACCTCCTGGCTTTCAAAGAATATTTTCTGATAAGATACTTGCATTAATTTTTGGTTGAAACTTTCCATCAAAAAACCTTCCTTAAATGTAAGTCATATTTTTGCTTAGAAGTAAAAGAAATTGAAAACAGATTTCCTACTTGTCCATAGAGAGTTATTAGGTATGTTATTTAAGAAAACTTGAAGAGTTTATATTGGAACTTATAATGTTTCAATCTGTCCTGTATATTATTTGAAGATTTATAACTTCCTCTGTTTGTTTTAGTAACCATTGTATTCATTTTTAAATTTTTTTTTAAACATCCATTTTTTTTTCATGCACTGAGAAAGTAAAGCCAACATAGTGGACGTCTTTTGTTTGCTGCAAGAGTTGGTTAGTAGAAAGACACAAAATTAAGTTCACTTGGTCAACAGAAATGTCTAACTTCTGCATTAAGCTTTTCTTTATGAAAAGCCTCAGAACTAGTACATTATTATTATTATTTCTTTTTTTTATTCTTTAAAACCAAAATCGATAAAGTACCTTGCCATACCAAAAAACATGATTTAAGAATTTAGACATTTTTATTACTGATAGGTATTTAGGAGGACTAAGTTTTTTTTTAAGTAGTAGTTGTCATTGGAACACGTCAGATGTGAAACTGGTTTAATACACCAGTGGGAATCCATATTATATTATTGTAATGCTGCAAAATAATCCTTTTACAAATAATCAAAAGCTTATCAGGAGCCATATTCTATCAACAAAGATGAGCTAATCCATCCTCTTCCATATATATTTATCATTCTCAAAATGAATTTCATAAATACAAAAAAATATGAAAATATTCCAAATAGGAAGAATTGGCGCAGATGTACATAGTTGATTTCAACTGTGATTCTACATAATTGAAATTCTCTACAGTACCTATTTTTTTCCACCCTAGTATTGACATAATGATCCACTTATTAAAAATACTGCAGCTTGCAAACAAAAATTGAGACAAAAAATCCAAGGCTACTACAGAGACACACTGTTTCATTATGGGAAACAATGAAATTAGCAAAAATTAAAACATCCAGGTTTCTGGCATGAGATAATTGAGAACATACACTTAAACCATGTAAATAGCCCTGTAAATGAAAACAGATCCACTCTAAATGGGACTCTTTAAAAAGGATTTTTGCATTGTTCCTCCTTCAGAAATAGAAAAGACAAATCTTTTCCCTGTTTATTTTGCAAGAAATATCCATTTTATTAGAATAAGACTAAAGAACCTGAAAAAACTCAGTCCATCTAGTCTGTTCTAATAAATCAAAAACAATAAATACAAAATTCTCTTCAGCATTCAGTTGAATACTTGGTGCACACTTGTCAAGTAACTAAAGGAAGTGGGGTGCATATTGATCTAGATGCCTCTATAAAATTATGACATTAATATCAAATACATGTGCTCAGATCTTTTTGTGGTATTTCTGCTTTGCATTCTGCTCATTCCTTCATCTACTGACCATCTAAACTCTTTACATACCAGTAGTAGGCTGCTGTGGTTGAAGAAGGCAGCAGCTTGTAAAGTCTAACAGGTTTTGCTCAAAGAAATGATGCTTTCTTATTAAAAAAAAGTCAATAAATGTCAACAGAGACTGTATATGTGGTCAGCTTGTATTGCATATATGGTGGTCAGCTTGTTTTTCTATTAGTGATATGCATACTTAAATATACCAGTTCACAGTACACTTCTAGATGGTTGTGATTTTCATGATTTACCAATCATTACTCACAATTCTGATAATTCAGCTCCAAACTTCCTGTGTGTGCTTCTGTGTCTTTCTCTTATTTCAATATAAACTCCTCTCTCAGTTTAACTCTTAAAAGTATTAACTGCTGTGCAGCCACAATTTGGAGTGTTTCCCTTTCTTTTTCACAGAAGACTTGATCCCAAAGATCATGGTCCTCTAAGAATCTCTTATGTAGCCAGTGTGTACAGTAAAAAATAATTAAACTGTAAGCTAATTTCTCAACCTGATTCTCCCATCAGGCTGTATAAATCTCCTAGTAAAATGGAGACAAACAAAAAATATTAAAGGATATAGCTAATTGACCGTCAAGCAAGTTTAACATTTTTTTCTCCTCCTGTGTCCAAAAATAGATTTTTGTTATTTTCTTTATTTCTGAAGGATTTAAAATCTCAAAAGTGTTGTAGTTACTAAGAAGTGTTGCAGACACTAAAATATGTATTAGCATTAAAAGTATACAAGCATATGGCCATACCTGTCAGAGGAGCTGTAATTGAAGTATGTGAAAACATATCTCAGGTACTTTTAATTTCTGTAAATTGGACCTTATAGCTTCAACTGTCAGCTATTTAGGAACCAGAGTGTACTTTTCAGCTGCTGTGCTTAATTCTGACAGAAAATATCTGTTATTTCCACCAGGTTCCATCCCTTTGGATTCTCTCTTAATCATGAATAAAGAAAAAGGAATTAGGTAATACTGAGAAGCACTGAAAAAGCTCCATTCAATATATGGTGCACAGTACAGATCAGTGGAACCCTACTGGATTCTACATCAGATTAACACAAATAGGAAACTGGTAATATCAGGAATTTGAAATTTTCTCAGATGCAAACATTAAATCACTTTGTGACCAATAAAAGACTGCATTTCAGCTCCTTTAATCTAGGATTAATAGCACATTTCTTTGTTTAAACTACACATTAGAGCTTTCATCCAAGTATGTTTGCAGTGGCATGCTATCCTACATGACTCACTCTGGGCTGCCTTGTTTATTTAAACTTTGCTCAGCTACAGCTAGATGAATTTATCTTGCATTTTTATGATCATGATCTAAGGAATTTTGCAATTTTTCCCTATAAACCAATTTAAAAGTTAATTATTCTTTGTTTGATGC